CCCCCTCCACCGCCATCCCTGGCCCAGACTTTGTCTCCATGGATCCCGCTGGGGGTGACCGAGACCGTGTAGCTGCTGAGAAATGGAGCTTCTTTGGACCCAAGTCTGTGCAGAAGCCCAGCTGTGACCCAGGTATGCCACTCTCGGGGGCCTCCCCTTTCGGAAGCTGCTGGAAGGCAGGTGAGAGCATGAGGTGGGGCAGGCACAAAGGCTTAGGCTGGCTCCATAGCTTGGCTTCCTGCCTCCCCTCCTGTGGCGTGTTACCAGCTGTCCACTGAGGTCTGTGCCCCTGCCGAACTTGGGAGGGAGAGCCTGGACACCCCAGGTCCCCAGACTCAGGACCAGCTGGCTGAGAACAGTTTCCAGCCAGGTTGGGAGCATCTGCAGTGGTGACCAGGGCACTGGAGGCTGTTGGCTACCAGTGCCCGGCTCGGGTGCAGCCTGTCAAACTTGAGCGCACGGCAGGTACTCTGTTGTGCCCCTGCAGTACTGTACCTCGCCAGCAGGAACCTGACCCTGGGGGCAGTGTGGGAGGCTGCCTGGTACACGTGGCGGGGGCTGCGGTCTGTCCGAGGTGGGCTGGCTGGTGTCCAAGCACCATGCCTTCCTTACCGGCTGTCATGTCTTCCTTCAGGGGGCTTCACCGTCCAGCCCTACAAAGGTGCCCAAAAGCCGTCCCCAATGGAGCTGATCCGTGCCCAGGCCACACGCAAGGCAGAGGACCCGGTTACCTTCAAGCCACCCAAGATGGACATCCCAGCCCTGGAGGGGAAGAAACAGCCCCCTCGGCCGCACAACCTGAAGCCCCGGGACATGAATGTGCTCACGCCCACAGGCTTCTAGGTGCACAGGATGCACCGAACTGCAACTTCCAGCAGCGTCCTTCCAGCTCGGCCCTGGGGAAGCAGCAGCCCCTGCTGTCCAGGGGCAAATCCCAAATCTGTTTCCTTTCTTGAGAGAGCTTCTGTCTCAGCACTAAATCCACAGAGACCCTCTGCACTTTGCATCGGTACCCTGCTTCTCCATACAGCAGGGGACCCCAGGGAGATGCACACTCCCTCCCTGCCCCCCAAAACTACACCTGGTGGGAGGCTTTGGACTTGTGCACCTCTGCTTGGACTGCTTTGCCCATCGCGAGGTTGGCCTTCTCTCCTAGGCTCGCTGCCTCCTGACAAGGACCACAGCTTCCTCCAGCACGTAGGTGGGGCCTGGGGCTGGAGTTGGGACCAAGACCTGGGCTACACACAGCAGTTCCCCTTTCAGGATCCCAGAGGGAAGCCTGCGTTTTCCTCCCTGTGTGGGGACTGTAGGGGGGTTTCCAGCCGGCACTTGCTTCTCTGTGGCGTTCTCTTCAAGGGATAATGGTTGAGCGCGGGAAGGGAGCAGCACATTGCTGTCAGAGGGCTTGGCTTCTCCAGGGGGGCCTGGAATGGGTTGGGGTGGGGATCCTTGCTTCCATGGGGCAGTGCACGTGGAAGGGCAGTGGGGGTTTTGGGAACGTTCCCAGTAGCCTCCTGTAAATAGGTAGGGGCAGAGGCTGTGGCAGGCTAGTGGGGTGCTGCTTCCTAGCGGCAGGTGCTGCTGACGGGGGTGCAGAGACCTGGAGAAGGCCTGAGCTGAGCCCTGGCCCATGTGCTCGGGTTTTAGACCTCCCTTGGCTTAGTTTTTAAATGTTCGTGGGAACGCTCCACCTGCCCTCTCCCTCTCCCGCTTCAGAGGGCACAGCCTGTCCAGCCTCAGCTACCCCTGCACAGGCCAACCCTGCTGCCGGGCCACTTCACCTCGGGCAGTGTAGCAGTGGCAGCCCCTGCACTCATACCACGCTGGCAGCACCAGGGACGCGGTCATGGCCACTGCTCGTCCCATCCCCGTTGCTCACGAGCCCTCGGGCTGGCATTAATTTATTTGTGCTGTCTGTACTCACGTCTCTTTAATGTGCCTCCATTGGGTTTGTTACAAGAGAATAAAGACCCTTGTGATGAGGTGCCTGGCAGGTTGTGCAGTGCCGGTTGGGGCCTAGCTTCCACCTGGGGAAGTTGGAGTGGCTGCCAGGCCCCTGCCACAGTGGGGAGGGTCCCAGCAGTGTGGTGGGCAGGGAGGTGCCCACGGCTGCCCTCTGCTTCCTCCTGGGAAGGGGGAGGCAGGTGCCCGCTTTATGCTGCCTCATGGGCTCTGGAAGCAGGATGTGGGTGAGATGAGAGCATGGGGCCTGGGTTCCCCAATCCAGGGCGCGTGGCTGCTGTGGCAGGTTGTTCTAGCAGTCTCTTGGTGTGGCTGAGGGGCCTGCCCCTCAGCTGCATGCCCAGGGCTGGGCAGCTGTGTCCTGGTCTGCATCCAATACCTCGGCCCTGCCCGTGGCTCCCCTGGGGGTGGGGAGTGCTGTGCTTGCAGGTCAGCTGCACGGGTGAGTGCAGCCCTGGACATCACTGTGGCTGCCTGGCACTTGGGAGCGAAACTTAGTTCTTGGAAGCACTTCTCGTGCGTGACCGATCCGGTGGACTCCACTCGGGGCTGACGTGCTCTGCAGCAGTTGGCCTTTGGGGGGGCAGGGAGGGAACATGCATATAGGCTTTGACAGGCTTCCTCCTGGCCCTTTCCTGTGATGGGCTAGTGAAGGCTTGAGCTGTTCAGTGCTTTGGGGAAACCTGTTCCCACAAGAGTGAGACTTCTACCCTCTGCCTGAAGCACTTCCAGCCTGTCTGAGACGGACTCTCTCCAGGCGTCTCCTCCCCGTCTGCCTCCTGCAGCCAGCTCCCGAGTGTTCTTCAATCTTACCCTTACGTGCCCAGGGCTTTTGCACTTCCCCAGCTGACTGAGACTGAAGTCAGGACAGGCCTCTGACCCAGCTCGTTCCCCAAGGGGTGGGTAGCTGCGGTCCCAGCCCAGCTGGCCTGCAACCATCACCTTGCTAAGAGGACAGATGTGCCATAGCCAGGGGCAGATGGCACAGCCAGGATCAGAAAGGGCCTAGACGAAGTCATGGCCAAGAGCCCTATTACCAGCTGTTGTACAGACATGAAGGGGTGTTCTGGTCTTTGGACTGAGGATGGTGGCAGCCACAGATGGGGTACAGCGCTCTGGATACACTAAGTCCTGTGCTGTCCCTCTAAAGCAACTGCTTCTGCCACGGTGCGGCAGGATCCCAGGCCGTGGGCTGGGTTTGGCCCTGCCGATGTTCTTGTGCATGGTGCTGCCAGGCCGAGGACGGGGCTGGCACGAGGATGACCTGCACATCTGCACTGAGAGGCTGCGTGAATGGGAAGTGCTACGGGCCTCAGCCTGTAGGCGCTGTGCACGTACGGTGGCCAGGGCAGCTTCCTGCACAGGCCTCGTGCTCATGGCCAAGAGCTGCTCATCCCCCGGCAGGGAGCAGTGACACCACTGGGATGGGGCGGGGGCGCGTCCCCAGCCTGCGTCACTGCTCAGGTTAAGGAGGAAACCTTGTGCCTGCTCTGTGGCTTCTGGCCCAGGAAGGGGCTGAGCTGGTGGAGATGAGACCTCCTGCATGGCAGCACTCGGGCCGGGGCTGCTGGACATCAGGGGCTCTGCCAGAGGAGATGGGGCTGGCTTCCTCCTGGAGTTGCCTTGTCCCAGCCTGTTGCTGTCTTGCCAGAGCCCTGGAGCTGGGGCAGCCGTGATGCGGGGAGCTGCGGCTGGCTGGAGTCGCGCTGTGCCTCCACCCTCCTGGCTGTGCGGGGAGACGGGCCAACACCTGCCTGCTGCCCCAGGGGCTCCAGCCTGCCGCCTCAGGGTGTGTCTTGCCTGGCTGCCAGGGCTGAGGCAGGATGAACGAAGCAGGACATTGAGGAAAGACTTGGCCACCAGGAACAGTATGTATTGAAAGCCATAGATAAAGTGCTGGTGAGAGCCGAGCTGTGCCGGCTTGGGGGAGTCCAATGCCTGGCAGAGCTCAGGTGCCTTCCCTGCCCCTCCAGGAAGGGAGCAGCATGGTGGGCTCCGGCCGCATGGCAGCGTTTGGGTCCAAAGCCCTGTCAGGAGCGGCTGGCAGTGAGGAGCAGTACCTGGAGCATGTGCACCTTCTCTGTGATGGAGGTGGGCAGCGGTGCCCCCAGGCTCTGCTGCAGCTGATGGCAGAAGCCCTGGATGCTCTGCTGGACATCCAGTGTGGTGATGTCGTCGCCTTCCTGCTGCTGGGGCCTGGGGGCAGAGGTGATCAGCTGCATCCGCTCGCCCAGGGAGCTCCACAGGTGCTCTGCCAGAGGGAAAGCGGCTGGGGTCACAGGCCGGGTGAGCTGGGGACTTGGCCGGCGGCTCCATCCAGTGCTGGTGCCGTCCTGGCCTCGAGTTGTTGCAGCCAGAGCTGTGATGTGGAGGGGCAAGAAGGGAGCCTGGGCAGCCTGTGCTGAGGCTAGGCCAGGCTCTGGGCAAGCTCTTACCTAGCACCACGTTGTGGTAGCTCACCAGCAGGGAGATCAGATGCTGCAGCATCTCGTCCCATCTCTGCCACGTGGCTTCCTGGTCCTGCAGAAGGTGAGGGCGTCTGGTTACTCAAAGGGGGTCTCCAGAAAGGGGCTGGGAGCGGGGTGGGGCTGGGTGGTACCTCGTACTGAAGCAGCAGGGAAGTGTGGCTCAGGAAATACAGGATCTTGGCCAGGGACAGGGGCAGGGCTGTGGGCACCTCGCAGCTGTGGTGGAACAGGAGCTCCAGCAACTTGCACCGCAGCAGCTGGCTCTCCATGGTGGTGAGTAAGGCTTCCCTGGAAGAAAGGGGGAGTAGGCAGGGCAAGGCTCCCGCAGCAGCCTGGAGAGCAGCTATTGAGTCCCAAATCTGTTGCTGGGTTTGGCCAGCTGGGGCCAGGGCTGGGTCCCTCTCCCAGCCAGACCATGGCGGGGCGAAGAGGAGGCCGCAGGCAGCTCCGAACCTGGGCACGCTTATCCCTCTGCTGCTGTGCAGGTCAGCATCGCCCCCCCGGTGCCACTGGCCCCTTCCCCTGCCCCACCCGTGGTAGAGGAGCCCCAGCAGCTGGGCCAGCTTTGCTGGGGGTGGCGTGGGGGCCGGGCAGCGCTCACCTCTGGCTCCGCAGTGGGATGTTCAGCACCGAGGGGAAGATGGCGTCGGCGATCTTGCGGGCGCTGCAGTTGGGTGAGCGGTCCACCTCCACCGCGATGGACAGCAGCCGCTGCAGCAGTAGCACCACCCTACACCGGGGATGTCAGTCAGGCTGGCAGGGACGGGCAGCTGTGGGGTCCTGTGCCCCCCTCCCCTAGAGCCTGGGGGTGAAGCCGACACTACCCTGACCTGCATTGGCTGCGGGGGGCACGGCCCAGCACCCAGGAGCCTCGGCTCTGTCCTGTGAGAAGCCACTGCCGTGCCTGGCACCACTGGAGGTACAGCCAGGGCCTGAGGGCTGGGGGAGACCCTTCCTGCTTGGAGGGGAGGCTCAGATGAGCTTGTGCCCTCCCTGCCCTGGGCTGCCAGCCATGCTGGGTTCCCCTCTGGGGCTGGGCAGGCTCCCAGCTGCACCAGGGCCCCTTCTGTCTGGGGGCGGGGGCTGCAGTGTCTGCGGAGATAACAGCCCCTGGGGCAGCCTGAGATGCCTCTAAGCTCCCACCGGCGTGACACCCCCACCCCAAAGAGCCTAGCCTGCTCGGTCTTACTTCTCAGCCAGGAACCCCGGCGGGACGTCCTCCCTCGGCTCCGTGGGGCTCGGCGTGGGTGAGCGGCTGCTGTGCTGGAGCCTGGAGGCACCCGAGGCGGGAGGCGCTGCGTTCTGCTGCTCCAGGGGTCTGCAGAATCCGACGCCGGTGACGGCAGCCACCAGCCACCCGATCACCTCCCTGCGGGGGCACAGCTCAGAGCGATTTGAAGGTGGCCACATGGGCTGCTCCTGTGAGCTGGGGGTCCAGCACTGTGTGGGTTCCCCTATGCCCAGCAGTGCCCTGCCAAGCAGCTTCCTGGATAACCTGCTCTGGCTGGCCTGCCAGGCATGTCTTCCAGCTGGGTTGTGGTTGATTTCTCCCCCCACAACTCCGAACTCCTGTCTAGGGATCCTTGCACCCCAAGCTCTCGCTCTTGGCCCGCAGGAGGTGCCAGCCTATGCTTGCAGCACTCAGCCCAGCGTGCGGGGGCTCCTTACTTGATGTTGCCGAAGCTCTGGTCGCAGGACAGCACCTGCTTGGCGATGGTCATGGAGGGGCGCTGCAGCCGCAGGCCCAGCTGGACATCGTCCTCCAGCGTCTGCACCACGTACTGCAGGAACAGCAGGCGCCCGGGAGGCTTCTCCTGAGGGGGATGGGACAGTGGGATTGGGGGCCTGCCCAGGGCACCAGCGTGGCTGCACCCCACCACCCTGCCCTGCCCCGAGGAGGCAGGAGGCAGCCACCCTCTTCCTGTCCCCCTGCCGGCCAGCTGCTTCCCCTCCCCAGCAAGAGCCAAGCCCTGGAGGGAAGGGATGCTGGGCCCTACCTCGTCTTCCATGATGTGTCTGAGCAGTGGCCAGTCCCAGCCTATGCCTGTCGCGGTGCTGGCTGGATGGAGCCTAAAGCAGAGGGGGAGCCCAGGAGGGCCCTGAGCTGCCTGGGGGAGCACAGAGCTACCCCTGCGCCTGCCCCCTCTCTGCTTCCCTGGGGCAGTGCAGATGGCCCGGCTGCGGGAGGGCATGGATGCTGCCAGCTCCTGACACAGCAGAGCCTTGGAAATACTCTTCCCCGAACAGGGCTGCAGCAAAGGCCCGAGGCAGCTGCAGCGCCTCTTCCCCCAACGGCAGCCCCTTTCGGGGAGCCCGGACAGCCCCATCCCAGAGCCGGACGTATCCCCAGGCTCTGCCTACACACGTGGTTGCTGGATGGGAGTCCTGGCCATTAGAGCCCCCTTCCTGCTGGTGCCTACTGCCAATGGCCTGGGGGCCCCTGCTAAGGACACCCCCCTTCCCTGGGGGCGGCAAGTGCCGGGGGCTCCTGGACCAGCCGGGAGCTGAGGGCAGCGATGTCACGTACGTCTGGATCTTCATGAGCAGCGTGTAGGCATCCTTGAGGATCCCCCAGTGGTGCGGGCCCAGCAGGATCTGCTGGACCAGGTAGGTCGTGATCTTGCAGGGCGGGTAGTGCCGGGGTGTCACGAAGTCGGTCAGGAACTGCAGCGTGCCCTCGGGGAAGCTCTCCTCCATCGTGGTCCGCACCAGGTCCAGCTTCCGGCTCGGGATGGGCCACGTCCTCGTCCTCTGCCGGGACAGCGAGCTCTTGGTGTGGGACAGGGAGCGAGGTGGGAATGGGGATAAGGGCAGCCGGGGATAGAGGGAACCCGGATCCTGGACAACCCCCCCCACCCCATTACCTCCCGGCCGTCCTCGTCCCTGGCCACGCGCAGGAGGTGGTGCACAGGCATCCTCCGGAAGTACCGCAGCTTGTGCAGGCAGCTGGGGTCGGCCAGGCGCGGGGTGGGGGGCGCCGCGGGCTCCTGCTTCACGGCTGCCGGCACGGGCGTGCTCGTTTCCAGCCGCGGCCGCTTCCTGGAGGGGCCCTTTGAGGTGGTAGCGGGGAGGGAGCGGGGGGGCGGGGAGCCGGGGTCCACGGGTGCCCCCCAGCTGTCGCTGCTGGAGGGGGAGAGGGAGAAGCGGTCGGACTCGAGCAGGGGGCTGGCCAGGGAGTCCAGGTCGCTGTTGAAGGTGGTGGGGCTGCAGTCCGAGTCCGTGGAGCAGGCGGGCGTCTCCGCTTCATCCTTGCAGGTGGCAGAGAAGCCGGGCAGGGCCTCGGCCTCCATCCCGGCAGGCGGCGTCTGCACGGAGGCGCGCGCTGGGCTGGGCGGCTCCTCGTCTTCCCCGGTCAGGTCGATGACGACGCCGTCGCCGCACGTGTCCTCGCCCGTCAGGTCGATGATCTCCTGGGGAGGGAACGGGGTCAGTCGGGGCGGGGGGGCCGCACGCCGTGCCCCCGCGATGATGCGCGTGCGCCCGCGGGGAGCGGCAGGTCCTGCCCCGCCAGGCGCT